ATTGACGGAATTGCGTGGGGCACAGGGGTATTCCCTTGCAGCGGGGCCCCACGTGGGCTGGAGTTTGAGAAGCGTTGGGCCGTTTGCTGGAGTTGGAGTGCATGCAGCAGCACAGGCTCGCATAGCTGTGCTGCGCAAGCTGACGCGATCCATGGTGGCGGTCAAAGCTCATGGTGGCGTGCCCACCTCCTCAGAACTGCTGCTGATGGACACGCTGGCGGTCCCGGTTCGCTGCTGCTGCTCTTGCTTCTGCTGCCTGTAGGAATCAAGGATCCCAAAAGCTACGACCATTCGGTCCTGGTGCGGTTGCCGCCTTCGGCGCTGGCGCGTGGCAGAGCGAGTCGCTGCTAACGGCAATGGCACGGCTGGTGCAGGGGCTTGCAAGCCGCACTGTGGAACTTTGAAATAATTCAAGCTTCCAAGCGACATGCTGGCCCAGGTTGTGGTCGAGAATGGACGCTGACACGAGCAGATCGTTTTAGACGGTTGCTCCTATTACGTGAAGGTTACAAGCATATTTGTATCAGTGCAGATTGTATAACTGCGAGTGACGGCTGGCTCACAGCGGCATTCGTTCCCCGCAACTCCTTGCATTCTATCATTCTACGGTAGAGCTACGATAGAACATCACCGCCACACCTGCAATCATTTTGATCCCAGCTGTGGATACTGGGCAATACATTAGGTGGTTGTGTCGTATAGTCGCCCCAGGCAAGCCCAACACAATCGGCTCTGCTCGTTGGTCCCGTAGCTCCACGCTCGGGGCCTCATGGCAGGTGAGAAGTGCCATTTACCTGGCGATTAGACCGCCCTTGCAGCCTTCCAGCGTCCCGCGGGCTGCCTTGCGTGGCAAAAGCATGTGGGGCCAGCCCCGGCGACACGAGGAGACCGTGGTTTTGGCATTGCAACAGCAAGAAACATAGGATAGCTTTCACTTCGCTGACACGCTGCGTGCTCTGGGGCTGGGCACATTGCGAGCGGCCCCTGCTTACCGCCATGCTCGCGCACACGCAGCGGCGGCGCCGCTGCCAGCCAAGCCCTGGGAGCGCAGCGGCGCTGTTCAGGCTACAACAGATGCTCCTGGAGCCCCCAAGCCTTGGGAGCAGGCGGGCGCTGCAGGTGCGGGGCTGACACGGGCACCTTGAAGCTTGCGCCTGTGCTGCGCGCTCCCATGCTCCCGATTGGCGCACGGTGCTACCCGCCTAATGCGGCAGCCCTTAACCCTTGCGTGCATATAACACGGCCTGCAGGTGCAGCTGGTGCCTCAACCGCAATCGGGCTTACCTCGCAGCAGCCTTCGCGGCCGTGGGAGGTGCGCGCAACGCTAGCTGCGAGCGGCGAGCGCGCGCCCACGCCTCCCGGCCGCCCCGGCGCCGCCGCTGCCCAGCCACGTGCACCCCGTCGCTGTCGGCTGATCCGCATCTTTCCACTGCACCCTCATTCACATCGCAGTCTGCTGGCGCCAGCACCTCTTACAGCGCCAGCCCCTACTCAACCTCGATGTCGCCCTACGGCGCGGGCGGTGGCCTGACTTCTGCGTACGGCGGCGGCGGCATGCACGGCGGCGCCTCGTCCATGTACTCGCGGCCAGGGATGTACGGCAGCAGCATGTACGGCGGCGGCTACGGCAGCAGCATGTATGGCAGCGGCGGGATGTACGGCAGCAGCATGTATGGCGGCGGCGGCATGTATGGCAGCAGTATGTACGGCAGCGGCTATGGCGGTGGCATGTATGGCGGCAGCAGCATGTATGGTGGCGGCGGCATGTACGGCGGCGGCGGCATGTATGGCGGCGGAATGGGCGGTTACGGCATGGGCGGCGTGCCGCCGCCCGGCTT